TTAGAAAATAATTTTTTAAACAAATTTTGTATTTTTAGCAGCAAAAAGTTATCGCGCACCAGACATCAATTAAGCGCGAAACATAAATACAATAAATAGAAGAAAAATAAGCAGAGTTAAGCTAAAATATTCATACTTCATGAAATTTCCAACACAATATTTTTCTTCTGATAAATACTTATGTGCGCATATGTATGTAAAATGTACATTGTATATATGTACTGCTATAAATGAAAATGTGCTATTTTCAGAGTAAACAGGTTATACGCCACCCATTGTGTGATCATCACGATATCACACGTAATTTTTGCGAGATTTAGTTAAGCGTTTTGTGGACAGTGACCCTTAAATATTATTTCAAATGAATATCTAGGTGTAGCTGCTTTTTTAGAATAATTTTTAGCAATAATAGCCATAGCTGTGCGTTGAGTTTTTCTTCAAAAAAAAAAAAGAAAAAAATTCAAATGCAACTAATCCATTTTTGATTTGTTAGCGCGCAATAAAATTTCGGTTATTATTCTATAGTTTTTTTGCTTTTGTTTTCGCTTGCTGCGCTGGATAAAAGCTCTCGGAAACTTGTATTTGAATGGGTAACATTTTATCTGCTTAAGTCATAGCTGAAAATTATGACGCCGCGCTATTATTTTTCTTTGTGCTTTTTTTGCTTCGAAAGGATTACTGTGCTTCCGCAGTACTCGATGGTGGTAAATATACATGTACATAAACTGCAATATTTACTCGCTGCTAAATTTATGACATTAAAATTTAAATGCGCGTTATTTTGCGTTGCAGAAATGTGACTAAAACAAGTAATTTTTAGCAAAAAAAAAACCGACTTCAACTCTCATATAAAAAAAATATATATATATATATCTCATGATCCGCTGATCAGATCATAACCAGATTAGTATGGGACCACCTCTGAGACACTACCTTTCCGATGCGAAATCGGTTGACGTGGTCCAAAGTTATGCGGTAACATACATAAAAAAAAAAAAATAAATATTCCGACGAACTGATAACCTCCTCCTTTTTTGGAAGTCGGTTAAAAAGTGGAGAGAGACGTAGGATAGCTTGTGGCTGTCTTCTGTACGAGTACCAATTGAACTCGATTCTGATGATGGAATCAAGAAATTCGAAATAGCCGACACAATATGGCGCACTTTATCCACCAGTTTCGGATAACAGCCGCCATGTTTCATCGTCCATTTTTCATTCGACGATTCTATCATCAGAATCGAAATCAGCGACCTTAAAAACATGTTTACCACCTTTTAAAACTCCAATTTGTCACCAAGAAAAATATTAGTTTTAGAAAGGCATATTGAACAGGTATTTTGTAGCAGTAGAATAGCTGATTTGATTTTTTTTTTTAATGATTTGGTCTCTAAGGTGTCAAACAATATTACTATTGTTATCAAAAGTTTTAATTTGTCAAAATGTATTTGCATGTAGGTTTCTTTCATAAAAAGAAACGATTAAAAACCAGCTTCTGCAACGTTCGCTTGACTCCGCAGCCCAAAACGCTGTTTTGTGGGCCTTGCGGTGCTTTGGACGAAAACAAATTTACCAAGAGAGAAAGTCTCACAAATTTTAATTTTTTTCAATTAATTTTTTTTTTGGTATTTCACATAGCCAATTTCAATATTTATGACAAAAGAGAATATGTTTTTACACTTTATAGGCCAGAAGCAACAACAAAAAAACGCAAATGTTGTTTTTGCTTTAATGCTATTATTTGTTTTATATGCTTTGACTTTGAGTTTGATGTTTTTTATAATTTACCAACTTTCACCATATCGACGGAAGAATGGAGGATCGTTATATCTCGGCAGCCGGTTCGAAAATGCCCTACTTCAGAAAATGGATTAAGAACGCCCTTTTCCAGAATTTGGTTGGAGAATGCCCAGTCTCAGAATTTCATTGAAAAGCACTTTACCTCAACTGAAAATATATGGAAAATATATTAATATAGGGCATTTTTGAATCGGCAGTTAAGATAGGGCGTTTTTGAATCGAAGTTCTGAAAAAGGGCGTTCTTCGATCAAATTCTGAGATAGGGCGTTCTTGAAAGATTGTTTGAGAAAGGACGTTTTCAAACCGGCTGCCGAGATAGGTCGCTCTTTCACTCAGCCGACTCTTTACGCCGACTCCAAATGGCGATTGTATTTTATGAGAAGCGGTTTTTCATGGCTGAATACACTCAGAGATTTGCCATATTGCCTGCCAAGGGGCGACTACTATTAGAAAAAAACTTGTTTTATTTTTGATATTGGGTTGAACCGGGCTTAAACTCAGGCGCTGCGGAATGGTAGCGCGTCCTGCTAGCCACTACACCACAGCGGCCACCATGCACATGCGTATGTCAAAATGAAGGGTCTGAATGACAACAGCTACTACAACCAAATCTTTTTCCACCAAAACTGTTAGTATTCTCTTCGACTGACTTTTTCTGATAGGGGGTGTTGGGATAGTTCAATTATCACGAATCGTACCTGTAGTTTGATTTGATTCAAAAAAGCCTGATTGAACGGAAATATTTTCAAGTAGGAAATGGATTTCTGGGTGTGGCATGCACCTGCTTTAAAGGAAAAGAAACTAATTTGTTTATTTAAAATCCCACGAAAATTTTTGCGTAGGTCGTTTCCACGGAAATCGTCAGTCAATTCATTCATTCATTAATTGTTTAGCAATGAGATCAATGAAATTGCAAACGATTTACGCAAGTGATTAATATTTATTTGTGGCTAATATATAAACAAAACAGTAGCGAAGGCGGCAGATGGAAAACATACAGACGAAAGAAAATGGATATAAAAAGTGTGACAGGTGGGAAACAAATGCTATCTACGTAAGATTTAGTGAATTAAATATACGAATTACCTTTTTTCGCCGACATTGAAGGCAACAGCAATAAAGGCAGCAAAAATTTCAGCATTCCGGCGCAGTAACAAGTAGCGCCAACAAATTTTACATTGCTGATAGATGCATTGGTGTGTATGCTGGTCTGCCCACGTACATACATAGCTTTGCCAGGAGGTGGTAGCGCACAAACTTTGGTACGTGAAGCATCTTGTAAACACTTCAATCAGCGCTGCGAGAAAAGCACGCGATACGAGTAACGTAGACAATAACAAATTACGAAATAGAAAAAAGTAGACAGTGTACATAGTATAAGCAAGGTGGCGGAAGAACACTATAAGAGGAAGAATGACTGTGAGAGAGCGAGGAAAGTGGAAAAAGTGAAAATGTAGAAAATGGGATTGAACTAAATTAAAGTTTGCTCGCTAGCAGGGAGATGCGTGGACGAGAGCACCGTTGCTAAAGCAGCTGCAGTAAAACTATAATAAATTTTGGACTTCGGCGTTTTAAGTGCTAATTTATAGCTAAAGTGGCGAGCAAACGATAGCTAGAATGAAGCGTGCAAACAAGCAGGCGACAAACCCAAAAAAAAACCATTGTGTTGTGGATGCAATTGCAGCTGCAACCGGAAAGAGAATCGCTTAGAAATTTTGTGTGTTAAAATTATAATTAGGGAAAAATAGTTAGACGTGCGTGTGTAGAAGTGTACATACAGTGACGCAAATAAATGACCACGTGTTGAATTTTTTATTTTTATAAGATTCGTAATGTTTTTCGAGAAAAAATATTTTTTTGGCATTTTTCTATTTAAATATCGGCTAAGGTTTAACCAAAACCATATAAATCACTTTATACAAAATTCGGGAAAATTCAAAAAATTTTCATTAAAATTTAAATTTTTTAATCCGAATCCTTAGAATATTTTTGGGTATGCAGTGCAAGTTTAAAACGGCTAAAAAATCGTGTTGAATTTTGGGATTCTTTTTTGTGGCTGATTAATGTACTTTTTACAAACATGAATTCTTTATGAAATAAACGGAAGACCGTTCTCAAAAAAAAAATTTCCAAAAGTCAGCGTCAGCTTTTGTAAATTGCACTTTTTATAAATAAAAAAAAACCGCAAAAGCAATCTCCAAAAAGAAAATCTCAAAAATAAACGCGATTTTTTCGCCAGTTGAAATTTGCATTTCGTTAGACTAAAATTGTATGGGCTATAAAACCACATAAATATTCTAAAGATTTCGATTAAAAAGTTGAAGTTTTGATGAACATTTGTTGAGTTTTCTTAAATTTGATATAAAGTTTTATACTGTAGTTTACATATTGCTAGCTTTGAGTGAAAAGTTGCTAAGTCCCTATTTGAGAATTGTACAGGTGAGGAAAAAAACTTCTTATAGCCATTTTCTTCAAGTATTTCGCAAAACTTTGAAAACAACATTTTGCCTGCTTACAGCAAAGACAAACTCCATACGAATCAAAGGGATTCGATCTATATTCAAAGATTTCGTACTATTTTAGCCTTATCGAATTTTCGGAGATTTTTTTGGACTTAGCAAATTTTCCTTTCATTCAATATAAACGAGAAAACATGAACAAGGACCTTTACCCTTTTCGAAACGATGCATTTTTACTTTCTCTAGCCTCCTGTATCAAAATATGAGTTTTCATAAAAAGTGGACTTAGCAACTTTTCACTCTATGCTAGCGATATGTGTTTTTGGTTAAAGCTTGGATGGTAATTTTCTACAAAAAAAGCAAAAAAAAAAACAGCTCGAAAACCAATATAAATATATAAAATTAAGAGCAACACGTGGTCATTTATTTGAACCACTGTATGCAAACTCCAGCAAACAGCAGCTGTGGCTTAAACACCAAAGCCGACGAGAAATACGCACGACCGAATTCGGCTTAGTAATCGAAACGAAAAACCGTGGAACTGCTTACTGACCAACCTACAAACCGACCGGCAAACCGCGAAGGCAGCTCACTGTTTATTAGTACTTGTAGGCGTTAGATAAAAGAACGTCACACAAAACTACAGGCGCCACTGAACTTTTTCGTGGTTGCACTAACTACAAAGCAGTTGAACACAAAACTGGCGAAAATACACAGTATTGCGTGTGTGTAGATTTGCATTACCGAAAAACAAATACTAGTTGGCAACTCTATGCGCATTCCACCGACAGTCACTACAATTGTGGCATATGCATATATGTGCTGTAGTGGCGCCACTAATACTTAGACAGCGATGCACTGGCGGAAAACTCAGTTTTTGTTTCTTTGTTTGGTTGCTTATACGACCTGGCGTCTACCAGCCTGGGTAGTCACTCGTTTTTTTTTTTGGTTTTTGTGTGGCACATGAAACTCAAATTCTGCTTATTTAGCTTATTTGCAGACACTTTTATGCTTAGGAAAATTTATTTTTAATTAATTTAAAACCATTTGAAAAATCGAATTTTGTATTTTGTTACTTTTTTCATTAAATATTTTTTTTTCGTCACACTTCACTCGCCACGCACGAGTGTGTCCTCGCTCACGTTCATTAGCCGCACAACTGAATTGAAAAGTCGAAATTTCGAAAATAATGCGAAAAGTGATTTGAGTTGACTGCCAAGTTGAGTTGAATTGCGTGCATGTGTTGGTGATTTCTCACAGCCGTGGCAGTGGTAGTGGCAGCGGCTGTTGCAAGCGCATTTGTTTTGTGTTGCAGAGTTATATTGTTGTTATTTGCCCAGTGTGTTTGTTCATTTTCTCTCTGTAGTGTTTTTCATGTTACTTTTTCTGCAGCTTTTTTTGGCACCGCTTGTTTGGCACTTCTACAAATGCCATGCTTGTATCATGTAGTAGTAGTGTAAATTTTCCTTATACTGGCATTTTGTGTAGCTTATAGCCAAAGAAAATTTTTAGAGCAGTAATTCAACAAATGTTTTGCATTGCCATTGACATTCAGCGCTGTAGAATGAACCGATAATCAGTTGTCTGTACTAAGTTCAAGGTTCTCTCGTGAAGGCAAGTACAGTAAGAAGCATCAATTCTGCAAACAGTAGCACAGAAGGGCGTCGAGGTGTCGATGTTCGTTTGAAAATACGCTCTTATAGGGAATATATGTATATGTGGATTAGCAAGTGTACCAAGGTGGGAAGCTGATCGGGTAAGCGAATATTGCTTAACGTTATGCGGAGGCTTATGTAGTTCGATATTAGTGTAAAAGAGACAGGGCAAAACTGGTAACTATCTTGAAAGCTCTTTACTGACTTTCGAAATACTAATTGAAAGATCGGCAAACGAAGAGGTATTGGCGTTATGCTGTTCGCCTTTTAGCAGTAATTTTTCTTTTTTAATTCAACTAAAATAAAAAAAAAATGTGTATATATTTTTCTTTTTAGGACAATAAAAAGTAATAAATAAATAAATGAAAAAAAAAATTATTAAATTAAAATATATATTTTTTCTACTTAGAATAATAATACCTAAAAACTAAGTAAGAAAAAGATAACAACTAAAAAAAAAAGAAGAAAATAGCACTTAAAAATGAAATGAAATTGAAAAATAAATTTATATTTTTAAAACAAAATCTCAATACTAAAAGAAAATTAAATTAACAAAAGAAAAGGAAATCAAATTAAAAGTAAATAAAATAAAATTCTAAAAATTAAATAAAATTAAAAAGGACTTCTTTTCTAAAAATATTTTAAATCTAAAAATGGAAAAAAGTTAGACTAAAAATAGAAAAAGATTTAATTCAAAAAAGAAAAAATAAACTAATGCCCGGTTGCACCAATCAATTTTAAATTTACCAGCTTCTTTAAATTTAAATTGACAAAATTTTGTTCGAAAAATTCGTTATTTTAAAAACTTGTCTGCATAAATTTTAAATTATACCATTTTGCTCGGAGAATTCGTCATTTTAAATGTTAATAGTCTGATAAATTTTAAAATTTATTGGTGAAACTGGGGACGAGTCCCTAAAAATTAAACTAAAGAAAGGAAAAAAAAATTATTTGAAAAAGAAAAACATAAAATAAGTTCCTAAACATTAAAAGCAATCAAAAAAATGTTCTTCTTTTTAAAAACAATAACATCTGAGCATTAAAAGAAAATTAAATGAAGAAAAAAAATAATAAATACATAAAATAAGTTTCTAAAAATTAAATTAAAAAATATGTATTTTTCTTATTATATATTAGAATCCATCTCTCAAAAAAAAACCACAATAACTATTTTTCATTATTTCTGTTGCTTGAAAAAGCAACTAAATTAAATAAGAAAAAAAAATCGCTGCCCGAGTACTCAAACTGGGATCTCTTGAAATATCTTTTCATCACGAGTGGTGAGTGAGAGGGCCTTTTTCTAAGACTTTTGTGTTAAGATAACAAAAATCTTTCAAACTATCTTGTCATCTGTCTTTTATTTCTCTTACGAAAGACTTTTTACTACCTTACCCAGAATTGTCTTGTAAGACGTAAAAATTGTGGTTTGAAGGCAAGCATTTCCCGCTGAATTTTGCTCATAATATTCACAGTGTGTCACAGTGGCTAAAAGGTGACAAAAGTACGTTAAACTTAATTGATGGACATCAAAATATCTATATGAGGGTCTTTCGTGGTGCTGATTTAGAATTTGAACTTTAGATTGTCATTTACATGTTAAAAAATTCAAAATCAATTAAAATAAATGTAAAACGAAATATTGGCATCTAATGAGAGATAGTAAAGAAAGCTTTATTAAAAAAAAAACATTTGAGAAGGGTTGCCATCTGTTTAGAAATATTAAATTAATATAACTAACAAGTTGACAAATTATTCTAATATGGGTGTACAAGGAGGGGCTAGAAAACTCAATTTCTAAAAGATTCTTGAAGATGGTTTCCACCTGTTTAGAAATTTAAAATCAATTTAAATAAAAAGTCAAATAAGAAACTTGAATATGGGTGTCAGAAAAGTGTTGATTAAGGATCTGAATTTAAAATGATAATTTATGAAGCGAGTTCCCACCTGTTTAAATATTGTAAAATTAAATAAAATCAAATTAGTTTACAAGCCAAATGAAATATTCGATTATTGATGTCTAGCGAGAGATATTTAAGAAAGCTCAATTTAGAAAAAACTTTGCAAGAGGTTTATCACCTGTCTAGAATTACTAAATATATTTAATTAACAAGTTGATTAATAATGTCAAACGAGAGGGTCGAGAAAACTTAATTTCTAAAAAATTTTTCAGGAGGGTTTCCGCCTGTTTAGAAATTTAAAATCAATTCAACTAAAAAGTAAATTAGCATACCTGAGGAAGGGTTTTGATTAGATTTATTTTAAATATATTTTAAAAACAGTTGCTGATGTTATTACATAATGAAACATGTATTAAATATTTTATTTTATTTGAATTAAATATTTTTTTTTCTGCAGAGGCCGAATTAGATTTTGACATGATATTAGCTTTTATATATATATAGTGAATATTACAAAAATACTCAAAAAAAATGTATTGGTTTTCATCATATATAGAGTAAGCTACTTCATCAGTTTTTGCGTAATATAACAAAAAGATAAATAGAGAAATTGCAGCTGCATATCCTTAAATCAAAGCCCTTTGAACTTTCGCCACCATCAAAAGAAGGCTGTATTATCTGAGTTTTTTTTTATTCTAATTGGAAGCGCGTAGCAGCTCTTTGTCATTAGAAGCTGCGAACTTCAAGGGACCCTTAAGTCGAATACGTCGGAGAGGCCTCACTAAAGCATGCATTCTTTCAGTTTTGCCCCATGGCTCTGCACGGGTCGGTTACCACATCTCGGAGTGCGCAAACGCGAAAGCGAGAGTATTAATTGAGTATAGTCGTGCAACTAAAACTGCATACCCAGAAACCAAATTATATTTTAATTCCAAATATTATCTGATATTTGTAAAAATTAAATATGTACACACAATAATCTCAAAAATCAAGCAGCCCTAAAATCCAACGATAATAGCAGCGCAAGAGTTCCTGCTCATGAACTGAGCAAAAGAGAAATCTGTAAAAATGTAAGAAACTAGTCGAAAAAGTAAGATTTAAGAGAGAATGCCCATTTATATTTTTTTCTATGAAATATCTCTATTTATTCTGCTAGCAAATAAGATAAAGACGTCTCTTTATATATCTTGTACTCCCGAAATTTTGTTTGAGATATATTCGAACATTAAAAAAAAAAACAAAAATTGTACCGAAAGAAAAAGCGAATACTTATTTGGTCAAGACTTCGAAAACCAAAACTTCGGCTAATTCTTCTTCTTTTATTTGTTAGAGTAGATTTCGAACATATGCTTAGCATCTGCAAAATTCGCGTAGTTTAGCATAATAAAAGTTAAAGGAAAATTTTTATATTTACATATACATATGTATACATGTATGTGTATAGGTGTGCATTGTATATTGCGGTGCATCGCCAAAAAAGTTGCGAATTTTCCACCTGAATTATAAATTTTATTATATTTTAAGACTTACGCCAAAATGTTTCGGAAAAATACTAAGATTTACGTTGGGTAGACCGATTTTAATATATCTCCGATAATCTTAATACTTTGATTACGTTGATACAATTTTTAAAATTTTTATGCAGACTTTCAGGGTTGCCACTTTGGTAAATTATTGACAAAATTGGTAGAAAAAATTCGAGTTGGTAAAAATTTATTTATTTTTTATTTTCATTTTGTTAGATTTTCGTTAAAGTATTTTGTTTGAAAGGCATACAAAGTTTTGTAATTGAACACTATGAATTAAAAAAAATCAACGCCAGTTTTTATATATGGCAATTGTTAAATGAAATATAAACAAAAGATCGGCGGCATAAAAATAAAAAAAAAATTAACTCCAGTTTTTAGCTCCATATTGCTGGTTATATTAAAATTCCATGGGCTACAAAACTGCATACCCAAAAATGTTCTAAAAATTCTGAGTAAAACTCTCGAAATTTAGGCGAACATTTTTGGAATTTTTCCAAATGTTGTGTCATTGATTTTTGTGGGTTTAGTTAAAACGCAAACAAAATTATTAAACAAAAAAAATATAATAATATTCTTTTTTGAAAAACAATGTGAATTTAAAAAAAATCACCAAGGGGGTTTTGAGTTACCGTAGTTTCATTTTTTATTTTTTATTAAAATAACTAAAAAAAGTTATTGGTAGTTACTTTCCACATTTGGTAAATTTTTTTCAGGTGGATAGTAAGTATTTGTTTTCATCAGTGGCAACCCTGCAGACCTTTTTAGCTTAAAATCTTTTATCATTTGAGGTGATTTTTCGGCAAAAGTATTTAAAAAAATTAATATTATTTATAAAAAACTTTATTTTTGAACGTATTTTCAATTATCTGCATCTTACGTAAATCTTTTTATTCTTCCGAAACAGTTTAGCGGAAGTCTTAAGTTGTAATAAATTTTATATATCCGATGGAAAAACTGTAGCGATTTTTTTTTGTATGCAGGGTGATGCGCCCTAATGTATATACATATATATGTATTTACGTATGTATAATAACATATGCCGGAGCGTTAAACAATTCGTCGAGCTATTTTTACTTGAAAATTAATTTGATATATGGAGAGAAGCAAATATTTATAGTCGAAAGAAATGTTAGGGGTTTTAAAGAGAGCGTGCTCATGTGTTTATTGTTAAGAGAACGCTGATGGGAAGGCAGAATCACATGTTTTTATTTATCGTAAGAAGGTATGTATAAAATGGAAATTAATAAATATACAGACCTGTTTTTTGATTAGTGATGGGTAAAATTTTATTTATGTATTAAATACTATGTACCAAGTACTAAACATTTAAGTATTTATATTTTAGTAGATAACAAGTATTATGCACTTAAGTATTTTGCTGAACACCAAATACCGAGTAGGATAGTATTTGCTTATCATAAGTGTGCTAAATACAATAACATATTATTATTATTATTAATATTGATATTACGTCGGGTATAACCGCGCTGCGAACTAAAAAGGTCTATTGGGTAAAACCCTAATTGTAATCACTCCAGCCTTGGGATATTAAAGAAATTGAGCAAATTGAGAAAATAACCCTTCCCCAAGGTACGATTCATGATAATTACGTGGGCAGTCGCATATAATATGTTCTGGGGCATCGTCTACCAGCTCACAAAACCTGCAGTCCCTTTTATTCAAATGGTACCTTAACCTGCAGTATCCTGACAGGTAGCCTTTAAGAATGCTAAGACTCTGCCGGCAGAGTTGAAGGAGACTTTAGGAGTTCGTTTTGGTAGGAGTTATAAATCTCTTTGATTGGCTCATTCCTTGTGACTGCTGCCGTGTGTAGAAATCTGAGATTCTTCCCAGGTCCTGTGCGCGTACTTTAGATCTATCGCAGAACGGCTCTAGAGCATGAAAAAGTGTTGAACTTCACGTTTTGTGAGACGGTCAGCGATTTCGTCGCCTTTAAACACTTAATGCCCAGGGACCCACCACAGCGTTACTCTATTGTGGGCTTCTAGGTGGCGCAAAAGAGTTTTACACGTGTCCACAAGCCTTGATGACATTCCAACTGAGTACAAGGCCATTTATGCTGCCTGACTATTCGACATAATATTTTTTTCTGGTTCCATTCATCCTTCTGTGAAAACATTGACTTTCCTTCGTTTGTTGATTGGGGCAATGGTGGATATCAGTGGGTTAATTGACAACGTCGCACAAAGGGGAGGAATCTACAACTTTTTCTAACATACTAGATGTTGCTCGGACAATTGGTCGAAGCTAGGTCCGGCCGAGCGGCTGTTCGCACCGTTAACCACTCAGAAACAGCGGCTAAAAAGTACTGTATCCAAAAGTAATCTTTAAATACCAGAAAAGTTCCAGTAAATAAAAAATTTGCCGAAAAGCATAACGAGTAGAGTACCGAAAAGTTCGGTCCTCTCTAAGTTTTCAGAAAATCTGAAGACTATCGAAAGCTCCAAAAAAAATCCAGGGAAAATCTTAAAAAGTTTGGAGAAAATCCCGAAAAGTTACGAAGCATTTTATTGTATTGTCAACCTCTCAAATAAAAGAGTAAAAATTACCGTCTCTTTTTTTGCTGAGTCCTTTAAGTTGCAAATATACTTAATGCCTCCAAATACTTAAGTACTTATGTTAGTCTGAAAATGTAATACCACTGTTCTTATAATGTACCACTGGTTCTTATAATGTTTTTTTTTGTACAAATATTTACTATTTCTGCAGATTAAGTGGCTTCGTGAAGGTAGCCAAATATTTTCTAACAACGAAAATTTGGAAAAATTTAAATAAAAAAGTTTCTTATTTGTACTAGGATTAAGTAACTGAAATACTAATTCTAAAAGAGGTGCCTAAATATCACTTTTTTCTTATACCTCCCAAATAAAAGCCAGAAGAGGAAAATTAAATATTTTTCAACACCATTCAGTGCTGCATACAGCTAATAAACACAAAAGTAAGCTTAGTCGGATTAAATTACATTACAAAAATCAAATCACACGAAATTAAAATCAAGTGAAAAGCCTCAACCAAATGTGCATACTCGCGCATATGTTAGTATAATGTACATACATACTTATGTATGTAGTCATTAAATAAATAAAATGTACTTGAATGTCGATATTGAGTTTAAATACTTGATGGTGAATGGCAAAGTGTATGTATATTACCTGGCGAAGTACACCGAGGGTAGAAAAAATGTTGGTCTGTGACTGAGTGAGTACTTATCCAAGCTAGGAACCGAAAACCGGAGTTCTTTTTTTAACAGTTAAACTTGCCCAAATATTTTTTACGTCCTAAATAAAAATCCCTTCCGGATAATAAATTTAATAAATTTGGTATCAAATGAAAGAGATCTGAAATAGCTTTTAAAAAGAAATAACGAACAGTCGGAGGTTTGCCATTGTAAAGAAAAAACCTTTTTTCTATATTTTTTGCGATGTTGCTTTAACCAGGGCTTGAACCCAGGCTCTGCAGAGTGATAGCGTGCCCTGCTAACTCCTAAACCGCCGACCTGATGCTCTTCGCATTACAAATAAGATAAAATAACACAATTTTAACAAACCTGAATTCAAGGGAACAAAACTGGATCTCTCACGCAGGCTAAAATAGCTTGAAGTTTCTATGAAACTCAAACCTAACTGGAGGCTTAATAGCGAGAAGAGAAGACCTCGGTGGCCCTCTATGCAGCAGTTGGGAGTTGAAGACGGCTAGAGGCTTACACAAGCTCTCTGATGGACAGCCTTTATTTAGGATTAGGTCGTTAAGAAACTCAGTAGTAAGATCCAGATCGAAGAGAGGCTCTTAATCTTCTACTCTAAATATATCGGTATGGTTATCGGTTTACCAGTATTTACAGTTATTGCAATATTTACTGATGGAAGTACCTTTATGAGGAATAAATATCGATATACATAAATACCTATCTATTTATCGAAGTAATTAATATTATAACGTAACGTAGTAACGCTTCGATATAATATAGATTTGCGAATTCTCACAGTATTTAATGACGATATCGATATATTTCTCCAAGAACTTTTAATTATCGTTACCGAAAATATATGTGTGTTCGATACATTTACCACTTTATCTTCAAAGTTATCGTAAATATCATTGAGGTTTTAGAAATTAGTATCTTTATCGTTATTATCTTCGATCTACCTATATTCGCTTACACATTTATCGATGTTGTCATCTATATATTCGTCCATATATTCGGCGATACTTATCGATGTTAATGCGAATATCTGTGTGAATTATATTCACTTTTGTATTCGAATGCATAACTATTCGTAATCTTATTACAAAATTCGCGATGGCTTTTAACAAAGTAGTGAAAAATGTGTAAAAATTCAACTTTAGTCCAATGTGAGCTATCACACTGAAAATAAAATTTCGTAAAAGTGCTACGAAAAACTTTCGTAGTCTTGGTTTTTGTACAATGTTCGAAACTTTCGTTCATAATACGAACACATTTTTCACAACTAAACAAGATTTTACGAACCATTCGTCAATATAACGAAAGGACTTTCGTAAAGCCTTTTTTCAGTACAATTTACGAAATCTTTCGTTTATTTTACGAAACACATTCGTAAATGACTGAACAAATCTCTGTACGAATAATTTTGTATATTGTACGAAGGCATTCGTAATATTTACGTATGGTTTTAAAATTTACGAAATCTACAATTCTGTATTCGTACAATTTACTTAATACTTTCGTACATAGAACTAATGCAGAAACATTTTTTTTTAATTCGTACAACAGACGAATATTTTCGTACAATATACTAAATTGCTGTCAGTTTAATATTTCATCATATTTTTATGTACTGCGTGTCATTGCGAAACTACTGGTTGGCTACTGTGAGACGTATAAAATAATTTTAGAAGTTTTAAGGAGCTTTTACTGGATAAAAATACAATATAAAATGAAATGGTAAAGCTGTGGATAAATGCTTTTAAGCATACAATGATTTCAACATCGCCCACGCTGAGCCTTGCTTTGCAATGTGGGACTTCATAAATAGGCAATTTCATCAGTTAACATCAACGGCAAGCCCAAGCCAGGAACAGAAATGAAATTTTAAGTAAGTACATGTATGATTTTTTGCGGTGAATGAAAGCAATCGTTCGAATCAATCGAAAGCAAGTTCTACGAAATAACCGCAGTTTTTAGGAAAATAATTTCGTTAAATATACGTACTATTTTGTGCATTTTACAAAAATTTCGTAAAAAAATAAAGAAATAGTACGAGAGTAGTACGAAGTTCGTTCGTAAATAGTACGAATACTTTCGTAAATTGTACTAAGGTCTGATGTCTCATACTTTCGTAATATGTACGAAAACGGTTTTGTACAATCGACGAAAACTTTCGTGGCTCAAAATGACGAAAACTTTTGTAAAATGTACGCAAGTTTTCGTTATATTTATGCAGGGCTCGAATCGTAACATCCATGCACGGATCGAAAACGATACGGAAGAAAATTACGTGATACGTCAGTCGTATAAGCAAAATGGCATTATTACATACGAAAGCGAACGGAGTGTAATTTATTTTTAGTTCACAATAGTTTTTAAGTTCCACTATGCTTTGGATGGTATTTTTAAGTCACAATAGTTGTGGAACTGTCAAAACATTGAAAAATTAAATGCAAGTTAAACGAAAATTTAAATATGGATCCGACTTTGCTTTTTTATTTGACCTCCAGCGATAGCGAAGGAGATGAAAAAGTGATACGAAGGCAGCTGAGAGATCGGAGCAATCCATTAACCTTGCCGAACACAGCGTAAGCATATAATTTATATACTTTCCCAGCTTTTTAACAAAGAGTTCGTTGCAGATTCTTGAAACGATTCCGTTTGACCAAAGAAGCGTTTACTTATGTTCTGGAGAAATTAAATTTAAGGCAATCGGATGCCAAAACGGTGCCTCCAATCCTTCAATTGGCAGGCACCCTATCACTTCTTGCTAGCGGTGGCTACCAAGAACATTGGCAGTGATTATTTAGTAGGCATGTGTCAGAGCACTGTGTCGAAAGTTGTATCACGTGTTGTCTTAGAAATGGAAAGGAAGTTGTGCCCAGAATTCATACGCTTCGCACCGCATGATTCGTTCAGCTGCAAAGATTGGTTTGTGGAGAAATATAAAATACCTGGAGGTAAATGAAACCTTTTTTTAGTTTGTGAAGTTACTAACTATAATATCTTAATTTTTAGTCATTGGCTGCGTAGATGGTACTCATATTGGTTTACAAAAACCTACTGCGGACGAACACATGTACTTAAATCGTAAGGGGTACCATAGTATCAACGCTATGATAGTAAGTTGATTATGTTTCTTGTTAAAACGTAAAATTGTAAATGTAAAATTTTAGCAATCAACTGCCAATACGGTGGTGCAGCTCATGATTCCTTCATTTGGAAACATTCCGACCAGAGAAGGGTTTTAGAGGAAGGGTTTCAACAAAAAAGGCAGGGAAATTCATGGCTTTTAGGTGGATATCTTGGTAAAGTTTTTGTATTTTTGTAATAGTAATTAATTAACATTTCAACAGGAGATTCTGGCTACCCACTTGAACCGTGGGGTATAACGCCATACAGAAACACATCGGATGGTTTAAGTGAGCAGATGTTTAACGATATTCACTCCAAAGCAAGGTGTATTATTGAGCGAACAATTGGCATTCTAAAAGGACGCTGGAGGATTTTAGGATACGGAAAAAGGGGAAGATATCACCCTATAAAAGTGGCACGATTTGCTAATGTGTCTGCAGCGTTACACAACATTTGCATTAAGTTTAAGACACCTTATGATCCTCCAAATTATTACTCCGACCCCATATCGGAAATTGATACAGGGGAAACAAATCAACTAACCGCTATTGGCCAAACAATAAGAGATCAAATAAAACATTCAATTTTAAGAGTAACGTAAGAAAGTATTAGAATGTCTATAAATAATATTTTAAATAGCTGATAAGAAAAATTAAATTCTTTTTGTTCAAATAAAGCGAAATATTTTATTCATTTAAATTCAGTACTTTTTCATTTATATTAATGTTAATAAATAGACACTTAACAATAGGCACATAAGTGGTATAAGTATTAACCATAAAACCTTAAATACTGTGTGTTTAAAAATAAATCATTTCATAAAAACCTAATAAATTAAAAATTAATCC